CCTTTTTTTTTTTTTTTTTTTGAGACAGAGTCTCACTATGTCACCCTCAGTAGAGTGCCGCTGTGGCATCCCAGCTCACAACAACCTCAAACTCTTGGGCTCAAGCGATTCTCTGGCCTCAGCTTCCCAAGTAACCGGGACTACAGGCAGCGGCCACAATGCCCAGCTATCTTTTTTGTTGTTGTAATTGTCATTGTGGTTTAGCGGGCTCTGGCCAAGTTAGAACCCGCCAGCCCGGTGTATGTGGCCAGAGCCCTAATGGCTGAGCTACGGGGGAAGAGCCTTATTTATTTTTTTGAAATCGAGTCTCACTTTGTTGCCCCAGGTAGAATGCCAAGGTGTCATATCTCACAGCAACCTCAAACTCACAGGTCAAGCGATTCTCTTGCCTCAGCCTCCCAAGTAGGTAGGACTACAGGCGCCACCACAACACCCAGCTAGGTGTTGCTGTTTTAAACAGGATGACCAAGGAAGTCCTTTCTGTCTAATAACATTTGAACAGAGAACTGGAGGAGGCAAGGGAGGGAACCATGTGGAATCTTGGAGAAGAACCTTATAGGGAAGAGTGTGCAAAAGCCTTGGTAGTAGTAGCCAATATAGACAAAACAGGAGGGAGAACGGTAGGGGATGAGGTCAGAGGAGCAGCAGAGAGCCATATTTTTGGCTTTTTATTTAGTGAGATGGGAAGCCTTTGGAGGTTTTTTTTTTCCTTGAGAGTCTCACTTTGTCACCCTCGGTGGTGTGCTATGGCGTCATAGCCACAGCAACCTCAAACTTTTGGGCTCAAGTGATTCTCTTGCTCAGCCTCCCAAGGAGCTGGGACTACAGGTACTTGCCACAATCACAATGCTGGCTTTTTTTTTGTTTGTTTAGCAGGCCTGGACCCATTCGAACCCACCAGTCCCGGATCATGTGGCCAGCACCCTATCCACTGAGCTGCAGGCACCAGCCCCTCTGCAGGCTCTCGAGGAGATAACATTGAGGCTGGAGAGAGGTAAAATAACTCTTTCAACTTAAGATAGCTAGTAAGTGGGAGAAAGTGGGAATTCAGCTCTTAACCCTATGCTGCCACTGAACTTTAGCCTTTATCTGGGCACTGCTCTCCGGTGACTTCAAAGAACTGGGACACTGAAAAGTTATGTGGCTTGCCCAAGGCCACATAGCTAGTAAGTGACAGGAGTAGGATAGGAGCCTTACTCTCTCTGCAGCCCAAGAACAAGTTCTTTACACCACACAGCCTCCCTCAGGTATCCGGACCTACTGACTTTTTGCCTGGAGGTCACTGCAGTGGGAGAAGAGGTAAACAAACCAAGGAGCCCATCTCCGCTGCGCTCCTTAGGAAGCTCGGGCTGCGGGTATCTTTCCCAGGAGAAAGATGGGCCTTTATTTCGGGTGGCTCCGCAGGTATCCACAAGTCAGAAGAGGGAGCGAGAAGGCAGCGGGCGAGGGCAGACCCGGGGGAGCAACTGCTGCAACTTCTAGTTGCCCCTGCCCGGTTCCGGCGTCCGGAGCTCGGCGACCCTGTGCTAGGGCTGGCTGGCAGGGAGGGGCGGAGTTTTAGCGCCGCACCTCCCTCACGTGACGGAGCCATCATGGCGGCGACCAGAGGTTTGCCCGGCTCCCGGAAGCAGGCTGTGAGGGGCGGGCGTGCAGCTGGAACCCAAGCGAAGCCGGAGCAAGAGCGGGGAGGGCGGCCCGGCAGCCTGGAGCCGGGCGTGTCCGGAGCGACCCCGCAGACCGGGGCAGCAGGTGAGACGGAGGTTTGGATGAGACACTAGTAGGCCTGGCGGCACTGGGCGGAGGCTAGGGGGCGCAGAGTGGTGCCGGTGACCTGGAAGAAGGGAAATCTGAGAAGCACGCGCATGACAGTAAAACAACTGGAGAGGCCTGCGCGGGCGGGCGGGATGCCCGGGACAGAGGACCTCACGTTGAGAGCAAAAATGGGTTTCCCAGCTATGGGAGGTAAAAGTAGTTAATGTGCAGATGTTACTTTGGAAAAGGGCAGCAACCCCCTTTAGAACTTGAGGGACCAGGATTTTTGAAGGGGCTCCCTCTGCTCTGCCAGGCAAGGGTGGGGCGAAAGCTCGGTCCTCTCCCCTCAGCTCTTACACCTCCCTACCCAACAGTGTTCTAGGAGACATTTCTGGCAAGGCCACTTCTCCTATCCACCCAACTGGTCCTCCCGGTCTGAGCTCTAGGGGAGTGGAGTTGGCAGGGGGTTTGGGTGGAGCTGCCTTCAGTTTAGACACCCAGCCTCTTGACTGTGCTACCCGGGCAATGGATGTGACTCTGACACTCCCTTTCTCCCCAGGTCGGCTGGGGGCCCACTATGCTGGTAACTGCCTACCTCGTTTTTGTAGGCCTTTTGGCCTCCTGCCTGGGGCTGGAGTTGTCAAGATGCCGGGCTAAACCCCCTGGAAGGGCCTGCAGCAATCCTTCCTTCCTTCGGTTTCAACTGGACTTCTATCAGGTCTACTTCCTGGCCCTGGCAGCTGACTGGCTCCAGGCCCCCTACCTCTATAAACTCTATCAGCATTACTACTTTCTGGAGGGTCAAATTGCCATCCTCTATGTCTGTGGACTTGCCTCCACTGTCCTGTTTGGCCTAGTGGCCTCCTCCCTTGTGGATTGGCTGGGTCGAAAAAAGTCTTGTGTCCTCTTCTCCCTCACTTACTCTCTATGCTGCTTAACCAAACTCTCTAGGGACTATTTTGTGCTGCTGGTGGGACGAGCACTTGGTGGGCTGTCCACAGCCCTGCTCTTCTCAGCTTTTGAGGCCTGGTACATCCATGAGCACGTGGAGCGCCATGACTTCCCTGCGGAGTGGATCCCAGCTACTTTTGCCCGAGCTGCCTTCTGGAACCATGTGCTGGCTATAGCAGCAGGTGTGGCAACTGAGGCTGTGGCTAGCTGGATGGGGCTAGGGCCTGTGGCGCCCTTTGTGGCTGCCATTCCTCTCCTGGCTCTGGCTGGAGCCCTGGTCCTACGCAACTGGGGGGAGAACTATGATCGGCAGCGTGCCTTCTCAAGGACCTGTGCTGGGGGCCTGCGCTGCCTCCTGTCAGATCGCCGTGTGCTGCTGTTAGGCACCATACAAGCCCTTTTTGAGAGTGTCATCTTCATCTTCGTCTTCCTTTGGACTCCTGTATTAGACCCACATGGGGCCCCACTGGGCATTGTCTTCTCCAGCTTCATGGCAGCCAGCTTGCTTGGCTCTTCCCTGTACCGCATTGCCACCTCTAAGAGGTACCACCTTCAGCCCATGCACCTGCTCTCACTTGCTGTCCTCATCGTTGTTTTCTCTCTTTTCATGTTGACTTTCTCCACCAGCCCAGGCCAGGAGAGTCCAGTGGAGTCCTTCATAGCTTTTCTACTTATCGAGTTAGCCTGTGGGTTATACTTTCCCAGCATGAGCTTCCTACGGAGAAAGGTGATCCCTGAGACAGAACAAGCTGGTGTACTCAACTGGTTCCGGGTGCCCCTGCACTTACTAGCCTGCCTAGGACTTCTCGTCCTCCATGACAGTGATCGAAAAACAGGCACTCGGAACATGTTCAGCATCTGCTCTGCTGTCATGGTGATGGCTCTGCTGGCAGTGGTGGGACTCTTCACCGTCGTAAGGCATGATGCTGAGCTACGGGTGTCCTCACCCACTGGGGAGTCATATGCTCCTGAACTCTGACCTTGTTCCAGGACAAGGCACGTGGGATGAACTTGAATCCTATCTCTCCAGGGTTGTGTAGATGTATCTGTGACTGACTTTGTGACTCTTTTCTACAGCCCCTCCTGCCAGTGCTTTGTGTTGGGGTGGACATGGAGGTAATGGCTGGAAAGAAGGTGCCAAAGTTGCCTCTGTGTTACTCCCTTTCCCCTTACCATTTAAAAATAAATACTTGTAACTGATCATTGATTTGATGTACTCATCCTCACCTATAGCTATCTCAGTAGTTTCTGGTGAGTGGGTAGCTGTTTTTGTTTTTTTTTTAACCATCCAACTCCCTCCACTGTGTGTCTAGTAGAGTCACCGGGCCTTGTCGGGGCAGTCAGTGAGCTGAGGTTTTTTGTTTGTTTTTTTTTTTTTGTGACAGTCTCACTTGGTTACCCTTGGTAAAGTGCCATGATATCATCGTTCACAGCAATCTCAAACTCCTGGGCTTACGCGATTCTCTGGCCTCAGCCTCCCAAGTAACTGAGATGACAGGCATCCGCCATAATGCCTGGCTACTTTTTGAGATGGGGGTCTCGCTTTCACTCAGGCTAGCCTCAAACCTGTGAGCTCAGGTAATCCACCCATCTTGGCCTCCCAGGTGCTGGGATTAGAGGTGAGAGCCACTGCACCCAGCTAGAGAAATACTTTCTTATGGTAAAGTAAATAGCTGATTTATATCCTACATATTATAAAATGCCTTCATCCCTAGCTGGCAAAATGCTGGAGAGTAGAAAGGGGTAATGGTTCTCTTGTTTTCATCTAGAAACACTAATATTAAAAAATTATGGGCTCGGCGCCTATAGCTCAACCGGCTAGGGCGCCAGCCACGTACACCTAAGGTGGCGGGTTCGGA